GTGCTTTGGGACCGGAGGTTACGGGTGGATGAGTGAGGGGTAAGGAGGTCTTTGAGGTATTGCGGGGCGTTGCTGTAGATGCAAAGGTGGGTGATGAGGGCGATCTTGTATTGAATTACATTCCTTAACATTAAAATCCCACTTGTTACTTAATACATGTCTTTAAGTAAATATATAGCAGATTTAAATGTATTTCTGGATTAATAAATAATGTAAATACAGATACAGATTTTTGACCCATTTCCCAAGTTTTTGGTTTAGTTCCTAAAAAGATAAATCTGTTATTATGAAGGAAAATATAAAATACTGAAAAATAATAAAATGATAGATAACCTATAACAAAACATTTTAACTTTTGGTTTGCAAGCAGGAAATAAACTCCATAGAAGTGGGCGGGGATTACCAGAAGTTGTTAATATCAGCCGAAAATTGAAGTTTCTAGATTTAGTATAAAAAATATTTAGCCTCAGAATTGAGCTTCAAAGCAACATTTTTTACAAGAGTTTTACAGAAAAGGTTTTTTTAAAAGCACATTATCTGTACTGGGTACATGTTTCAGTGCCAACATCCTCTTATGGCTTGTGCACATGCAGATTCACAATTCTTGATTCTAAATATAATAATATAATAGAAACCATACATGTGTATGCATAGCTTTATAAAATCTCTTAAAAAGAGTGTGTATGCATATATGTATGCTGGATTAACTTTTTTAGACCCTATGTTTGTCTCCTTGCGTCATCGGAGTTGTTTTCCTGTTTGTCTCTAGGTGGATGTGCTGGAGTCTCAGTTCTCTCAGCTGCTTCAGCAGATCAACTCCACCAGAGACTTCGAGAGCATCCGACTGGCCCACGACCACTTCCTCAGCAACCTGCTCGCCCAGTCCTTCATCCTCCTGAAGCCGGTACCAAACACTCATTCCAAATGATGTTAATTAGCTGCTAACGTGCACCCATTTCCCAGACAGACTGTTTGCTAACTCCGTAGATGCTTCTGTCCTCAGGTATTTCACTGTCTGAACGAGATCCTCGAGCTGTGCCACAACTTCTGCTCACTGGTGAGTCAGAGTGTGGTGTCGCTGGACGAGAGGGGAACCGCTCAGCTCGATATCCTGGTCAAGGTAGAGTCGCTCATCTGCTCATTTGTCTATTGTTGGAAAATGTAAAGATAGATTTTGTAATACTGCCACGTTCAAATTTCAGGGCTTCAGACGTCAGTCCTCCTTACTGTTTAAAATCCTTTCGAGCGTGAGGAACCATCAGATAAACTCTGATCTGGCTCAGCTCTTACTGCGACTGGACTACAACAAATACTACACGCAGGCTGGAGGCACGCTGGGCAGGTAGGACGCAAACTACGACCATGAATATTATCTTCTGTGTAAAAAACTCTCTAGAGACAATTATTAGAACACGCTAATCAAACGGCGTGCTATGGTTAATCCAAAACTTTTAAATTTCTTTTTCAGTGTTTAAGAGTGCAAAGGATTAAGATTTGGAGACATGTCCTCCTCTGCTAACCTCTCACACTGAACAGAAGAAACTCCCATCAGTCCTGTCCTTTGTCTTAACCAAACACCGTTAGTGTGGCATGCCTGTTAAAATGATGTTTAAAGAGTTCGTTCACCCAAATAATACAGTCATTTTCCTCACTTACCTCTAGTGGTATCCGCCTGCAGGATTGCTTGTGGCGCTTTCAGCATTGAAAAATGGACACACAATCTCACTGACAGATTTCAGTGGGACTATTTCTTTGATAGAAAGTAGTTCCAGTGACTGTTTAGTGAGATTATCAACAATAACCAGACGAAGTGAATCTTCCTGTAAAAAGCCTAGCTCGACTGAGCTTTACAAACTGAATCATGCTTAAGCAGCTTCAAACTAAAGTAATGAGACTAATTCAAGCCTGGTTTAAGAGCTGTTTATATATTGGATTTAAAAGTTCAACATTTTGGGAAATGTGCTTATTTAATACTGAGAATAAGATGTAAATATTGATTCCACTCATCGTCTGTTAAATATGAAGCTACAGAGGTCAAAACTCCAGCAACGCCTGTAATATAGAGAACAACTTTAATGTCAACACTGTTTGCTTGAGACCATCATCGTCCACAGCCAGGAGACTATTGGCTTAGCTTAGCATAAACACCTTTGGATTTAGCCAGCCAGGCTAGCTGTAGCTACATATTTAGCATAGAGACATGAGAGGTGAACTAATCTTCTCAGCTAACTCTGCAAATAAGAAAATTGACCAAGCTGCTTTAATGTATTCTCTTCCACTGTGAAGCTCTGGAAGCAGAAATCTCAGACAGATCTAAACAGCTTAGCATTATCTGCCAGATGAAAGACCACTAGAACTTAGCGGGAGTTTTTTTGGGTGATCTGACTCTTTGGCTATAGCACTCTGTCCTTGTATAAACTGTAAATATGAAAAACCTTGTATGTACCATTTACTGTAGAGAAAATAAACTTAAATCAGTTAAAATGAAACAAGGGTCACAATTTATTATCCCATAAAAACAGACAGGATAAAGTTATATACAGCAGAGGCATGCAACAGAACTAATGCTGAACATTTAACATGGTCGAAGGCATTTTGCACATGTGGAGTCAGATTATGAGGAGGAGTAGTCGTGGCGATACTGAGGCTTGCTATGGAAACCCAGGCGCTCGCCGCAGATGACGCTCTGGATGAGCCACTCGGGAGACACCAGCGGGACTTCCTGTGATGTCACATTTTTCTCTACCAGTGGTGGACAGGCATGGTCTGTCACCACAACATCATACTTGCCAGCAGGAATGTCTGCGGATGGAGGGAAGATGAGACAATCAGTAACAACGTTTTTCACAGTTCACACTTCAGTTGGACGTCGTGGTGGATTCTGTCTGTACCTGAACTGTCCTTGTCTGTCTGGAACTGTCGGACAGAGGAACCTCCACCCATGGTGATCAACTGTGCCCAAAGCTCCACCGGCTTCTCAAACACCAGAAGGACCCGCAGAGCCTTGAACGGGCTGCAGCGAGGATGCCTGATCGGAGAGAAAAAGAAAAATCATAAAAAGTATATTAAAACGGCAACATTGAATAATCTTTCCAGAGGGGGTTCTCCTCTGCCTGACTTTGTACCCACTCTCAGGTTGCGGTCTCTAATAACCACAACTGCCCACTGTTGGCCTGAGGAGGGCTGCTGCTGACACACTTGCTTCCTCCTTGATACATGAGCTGTGTCCAAACTCACTTCCAGTTTACACCATCTTATTTCAGTGACCTGGTTTTGTGCTCTCTATAGTACCCTCAAAATGACATTCAAATAAAAGAGGATATGATCTTGGTGAATCTGACCCCTGTATACATCCACCTTAAGGATTGTGTAACATTTTATACTAACATTTACATATTTCTTGCCACAAAAAAAGCCAGGAAACAAGTCAGTTCTGGCTACCATCTGTTTTGGATTAAGAGATGAAGTTGTGGGAAACTGGTTATTAATCATTGTTCAAGTGTAACAGAGAGAATACATTTTGAGTCTTTAAGGATTCTGGAAATCCCAAACAAGCAGCAACCATCTGGGTTTTTTCCAGATTAACGGGGATTTACGTTTCAGAAAAAACAAATGCTTAGCTCTGTGACAGGAATGCTAACACAACCCCTCGATACTCAAAACCTAAAGTATGAAAAGCAACATAGGGTGGAGCCTCATCTTACCATTCTACTATGGCCTCATCTGGCCCCACGCCAGCAGGCAGCAGGTAGTTCCTGTAGTTGAGCAGCTTGTTGTCTTTGCAGCAGTCGCGCACCCAGATGTGCGACACACACGGCACACCGCTGGCCAAACACAGCAAGTACTTTCTCGTACGACAGTGCTGGTCTGCAATGAGCAGGCTCTGGTAAGCTGCCTTACACTGAAGAGGGAACCGAGAGGAAAGCATTGATAGGAGTACAAACCTGGTGTATTCATAAACTGTGTTTAATATGTTTATTATGTGACAATAACTAGTGAGGGCTGTATGAATGTGAAAACAACGTTTGAGTAATATAACTACAGTAATATTTGACTTCTATATTGACTGACAAATCAGCTCTTTATTACGTTGTGGAAAATACTGAACAAAATAGTGTTTCCAGTAGTGCATAATATGACACTATTGGTTCATCTGAGAGCAAAACTACAGACTGACAGCAGAGGAAAGGACTTGAAACTGAAACTAAAGTTCCACAATATATGTATTGTAAAAATACTAGAGGCAACAATTATAACTGGGATTTTTTTAGGACGTTAATCCTAACTTTCTTTAAAAAAAAAAAATCTTTTACGGTGTTTTCAGAGGACTTACCTGTTCTTCATTAAAGTCTGGCAGGATGAAGCCTCCACCTGCCTGCAGCTGGGACTCTGTGTATGCTTTGTTATATGGACCTGTCTGCACGTAATCTGTTGAGAGAATAATTGACAATGATTATAATCCTACAACCATTGAACAGAAGCAGGAAGGGTAGCTGCTGGTGCATTATCATACTCATTTTATCATCATCTGCCTCACCCTCCTCTTCGTCGCTGGTGAGCTTGTTGGTGAGCCGGTCGATCTCAGACGAGGCGGTCAGCATGAAGGCGAAGCCCATGAAGAGGGACGCGTTGTGGGGCAGCGGACCGTGAGTGTCGGCCACATCACATGACTGACCGGGGAGATCTGTGCCGCTGCCAGACGTGTTACACACACCGACCCGCTGAGCTGAGGACACAAATACACGTGTTAGAAGTAGAAAAGGCAGCGAGCGAAGGAATCAGGTGAAAAGACGGTTGGTAATTTAAAAGGTCTGTTCAACCAAATTATAAAATAATATCTTCTCTCTCATCTCTAGAGACATCTGGCCCTGCAGATTGTTTTATCTGCTGATGATTTGAGATTTCTGAAATAGTTCCTAATAAAGCTGCTGACTGTGTGTTCTGTGGATGATCCTGACTAACAGGGACACCGATTCTGGAAAAAGATGTTGCTGTTGTTGCTGAAAATCAGGACAAAACATACCCTTAAAACAAGAGGAAAGTGAGAAAATGTGTTCCCTTTAATTTGGCTGAACCAACCTTTTGAGCATCATATACTGGCTATATTAAAATGATTTTCAAAGCAAATACACCCGTGACTTTAGAGAAATACACACTGCCTTCCCTCCACCAGTGGACCGACACCGTGGTAATACTGGTGTATGAGATTAGTTACCAAATCAGCCTCGGCAGCAGCCAGCACACGGCAGCAGAGGATGGACAGACCACACGGAGTTGTGCTCAGTATAAAAATCACACATTACTGACTCCATATCACACAAGAACATCATCGGAAATCTGACAACGATCACTTCATCGAGTCGGCTGTAAAATTCTTGGAAGTGAATTAAGAACTTTAAAAAAATAAAACTTCACATGTACACAACAGCTTTTAAAAACCATTTAAAAAGTGCTATTACACCTGCAATGTGTTTACTTATACAGACACCGAAAACTAATTAAAACCTTAAATGTTAATTCACACCAGAATAATACATTATGTTTAAAATCTTAACTAAATTATAATGTATGAAGTCAGTTTTAAAAACAAAATAAAAACATCATTTTGAGATAAAGTCCTGAATTCCTTATGTTAAAAACATGAGAAAGAATGAACGAATGAAGAATGAGCCCCTGAAACCCCCCACACCCCCATCCCCTCCCTCCGTTCAGATGCCGTCATGGTTTTGGTGAGCGAGTCACCGTACCGGCTCTGGCGCCTGGCCCCCTGCGGCCTCTCTTGGCCGGCGTCCTATCGTCCTCGGAGGTCATCAGCTTCCTCTTGCCGGAGGGGCCGGGGGTTCGGGGGCTGCTGGAGGAGCTGCGGTTGGGAGTGTTCTCACCCCCGGGGGCCCCTCTGCGCCTCCGCTTCCCCTCCACCAGGTTATCTAAAGAATATATTTACACCACTGTTTAATAAAGACCCAGATGTAGAAGAGAGTACTGATCAATGATCTTCTAAATGCCACTCTGAACACACGGGATCTTGTGCAGAGTGTTTTGGGAAAACAAATTATTCCATCTCTCCAAAAGGTCATCTGTCTGTGTCCAGCTGCGGTGGTCTTACCCAGGCTGATGTCGGAGGCCTTGGTCAGGGGAGTGGAGGGCTCGTAGGGCCCGAGGCTGTGCTGCTCCCTCAGCTTGTTTCCCTGCTCCATAGACAGGATGACGGCGGTCCTGTTGTACCACTGCCTCTGGCCGTCCTTCTCAATGCTGTAGAACAGATCCTGCCCCTCTGTTTTATGGCCCCTCACAATGCCTGCAGACACACACACGAGAGACAGAAGGTTATCAACACTTTGGGTTTGAGACTCAATGTTTGTGTTTTGATATTTAGATTTATATCAAATTGAAAAATATTAGAGCACAAAACTATCTGTTATCAGTGAGACCACAGAACCCCTGAACCTGTTTCTACATCCTCCAACTCTTCTCCCTCACCTATGCTGAAGTACTCGTCCTCCAGCAGAGCCGTGACCTCCGTCTCCAGGGGGATGGGATCACACAGCAGGATATCCTTCCCCGCCACCTCGCACTCGTAGCCGTCATCAAACCGCAGGCGGAACCTCCCCTCCCCGGCGTCTTTGATGATGCGGCCCGAGTAGAAGTAGCCATTGGACGACCACTTGGCCACCACCCGCAGGCCGACGAAGCTGCTTCCGGTCGAGCTCGCCTCCTCCGGCGATGACCTGAGGGAGTCGGAGTGGCTGGGGTGCTCGGCGTCTGTGGGGCTGATGGGGATGCGTGGGGGGAGCATGCGGGTGTAGGGCTCGTCCTCTGAGGAGGACTGTGGCTGGCCGTAAGCACCGAGCCTTTGCAGGGAGCCAATGCCACCTCCCCTTAGAGAGAGAAACAGAGTGTGTTCAGGCAACATTCACTTTATCCTCAACGTCTGCTGATATATACTGGTTAAATCCCAGGCAGTGTATCATAACTGGAATGGGTCTTGATGGCCTGACTTTACTACACAATTGCTTAAAGGTTTAGTTTGGACATTATAAAGTGAGACTGAGGTATTCGTCCAGTCAGTGTATTACCTACAGCAGACGGCGGTCAGCATGCCCGCAGTTTGGAGAGGCAGACACAGGTCCCGCTACAGATGCTAAGCAATGTACTGCTGTGGCCGGGGACAACAAAACGTACTTTAGCCACCTAAAAAAGGCTCACCTAAAAAAGAAATTTTAAAAAATCAATCAGTGTACACTATATTTAGAATATTTTCCCCGCTTTACCTTGCTGTGAGACAGCTCTTTGATAGGAAACTGAAGCATTCATATTGATCTATGCTCTCTTCAAAGTCTCCACTGTTACTGTGTGACTCGGTGTTTGGATCCAAACCAAAGGTACATTTTTGTGAAGGGAGTCTGGTGGTTTTAGAGAGCGTTATAAGGCTTCAGTTTCCCGAAGGAAAAAAGAAAAGTAAGGTCAAGCGGTGAAAATATTCTAAATATATTGTACACTTAAACTGATATTGATTTTTTTAGGTGTTCCTTTTTTTTGCTGTTCCCCCCGTCCAAACTGGGGGGTGTGCCAACAGCCATACTGTCGGTAATACACTGACTATGGATAAGTACCTCATATAACTTCACTTCAATAAATAAATATAAAACAACCCATTAAGACATACAATCGTGTCTCCACTCCACAGGTTTACCCCATTAGAGTTAGGGGTTGGCAGTCAGTGCATTGTTTGTGTTCCAGTTCATTCAATAAACATTATTTAGGTAAACAATATGAATTTAACATCACAGTAGGGCTAGAAGAAAATATGTTTGAAATTATTTTATATTTTGAAATTGGTAAGATTACAGCACAAAGCTGATAATATAACCACTGAATCTACCATGTAGAAATAATATTCTGTCCCATTGTATTCAGTGATATTCCTTTGTGAAAGCGCTGAATGATGTACGAAAACAGTTAAAGTTTGAACTTTTATCAAGCAACAGGTTTGCTAACAAATGAATTCATCAGTGCTGACATGAATCATTAGTTGCAGTTCTGAGTTAGAAGACTCGGTGTAAGATCGTTAGTGAAAAGAGGAAAAGTAAAGTGTTATTAGAGATAGTGTAGGTAGTGTGCGTTCATGCAGTTTGCCTGTTTTTGCTGGCTGATCCGCGGTTTCTCTAAGTGCAGGGCGAGCCTCAGAGAGGACTCACCTGGACAGGAAGGAGCGGGACGGGGGTCGCCCCCTTCTAGCCCTTCCTCTGGGGCTCAGTGGGACGAAGCCCCGGGACCCCGGGGTGCCGTAGCCTCTGTCCATTGTGACCACTGACCCTGCCCTGTGACCCCTGTGACCCCTCTGTTGATGCCCACCTCCCCTCCTGGGACTGCAGACACACAGAGGGGACGAATGGAGCCGGTCAGGTTGCACAGGCACTGATCTGAGGCCACTCTCAAAATCAAAAGCATCCCATTGACTGAGGGGTGTCTAGTGACCCCAGATTTATGCCTGTGAGCAAGCTGTACCTGAAGCAGGCAGGGATCAGTGAATCACTGAGAAGTTAGGGTGTTAGAAAGTCAAAGAAGGTGAAGGAGTGATATAGGAACCAGCATGCAACTAGTATAGACAGATAAAGCAGAGTCTTTATTGACAGGACTGAAGAGAACGTGAGAATCGGCAGCGTGGAGGAAGAGGCAGTACCTGATGGATCTGGCCCCTCTGCTGGGTGGCATGATGAAGTCCGGCCTGCTGAAGCCGATGCTGCTGCTGGTTCCTCCGGAGCTGTGCTGCAGGCTGGAGGCCTTGGACGACAGAGAGCTGATGTCACCGAGGTCACCAGAGGTCACGGAGCTGCTGCCTGTGCGGCACGGGGAGATATCGCTGTCCATCACCTGACAGTCCACCACTGGCTCCTCACTCTCCTGATAGAAAAAAAACAAAGCAGCGACACTCACTTTCAAGAAAAAAAAAGATGAAATATGTAAAAGATGCACATTATATCATCCACCCATTTAACAATAAATGCCATAAAATGAATTGTTAGGGGATATATATACAGAATTACGCACTAGAGCATCTCAGACCAAAACAAATGGCTGCTACAGTCCAAGAGATTTCATTATTTCATTAAGATAAACTCACAGATAAT